GGACTAAGGGGACTAAGGGGGCTAAGGGGACTAAGGGGACTAAGGGGGCTAAGGAGACTAAGGGTATGGGTGTAGATCTGTATTGCATAGACACCCACACCCACACTTTCTCTCTCTCCCCCCTCACCAACACTTTCTCTCTCTCCCCCCTCACCAACACTTTCTCTCTCTCCTCCTTCACCCACACTTTCTTTCTCTCCCCCCCTTCACCCACACTTTCTCTCTCCCACCTCACCCATAGTTTCTCTCTCCCCCTCTCACCCACACTTTCTCTCTCCCCCCTCACCCACATTTTCTCTCTCCCCCCTCTCCCACACTTCCTCTCTCCTCCCTCATTTTCTCTCCCCCCCCCTTAGTCCCCTTAGTCCCTTATTTCAATTTGAAATCAAGTGCTCTTTTTTCTGTTTAAATTCAGATTGAAATCAAATAACCCATAGTATGGAAAATGTCCATGTGCGCTGTACAGATACATATTGGAAGAATCCTCAACAGAAACTTATGCATGTTTTTTTTACGTTATTATTACTTTGTTAGGTCAAAAAAAGTTTTGGCCGATCAATAAAAACCTTGCCCATTGGCCTGAAAAATCTTGGTTACGTCGCTGCTCCCCGATTGAGTTATAATGATAAAAACCACTAAAATCAAACAGAATTTTAACAGTTTTGTATAGTTTTACCACACAGTGCAGTAGTTGGGGTCCTTACTAAATACCCCTGCACATCTTTTTGTCTTTCGATCAATCCATCAAAAGATGCAGAATTTCATGCGCTATCAGGATATATAACTTGCATTATATAAGCTTATTTTTGGGTGTGGGTGTGGATGTATGGGTGTGGGTGTGGGTGTGGGTGTGGGTGGGTATGGGTGTGGGTGGGTATGGGTGTGGGTGGGTGTGGGTGTGTGGGTGGATGTGGGTGTAGATGTGGGTGTGGGTGTGTCGGTGGCTGTGGGCGTGGGTACTGTTGAAGAGAAGACCCATAACCGCGCCCATATCCACAGCCACACCCACTCACACACCCACACCCACTCACCCACACACCCACACCCACTCACCCACACACCCACACCGACACCCCACCACACCCACACCCACACCGACACCCCACCCCACCACACCCACACCCACACCCACACCCACACCCCACACCCTATTATTGGCTATTTACTTTGATAAGAGGAATGGCATCGTTATTTCTTTTTTTTGTGTCTAACTTATGCTTATATGAAAAATATTTATTTGAAAGTTAGATTGTAATGAAAAATTATTCACGTTAGTTGTGATTCCGAGAAAAAGCCTGCTATAGATAACGGTCACAGAGAAAGACAAAATTCGTGCTAAATGGAAGCTGATGATAAAGAGTCCAAGTATGGTACTATTGAGTCATTTTTGGCTCATACTCTTACGGAAAAAGAAAGTTGATACCTCTACCCCAATGACTCACTTATTCTCTCAAATAGCAGAATCATATGAAATGGTCTGTTGTTCCATAGACGAAGCCTGCCAATCTCTATCATCATTTTCATTATTAAGAACAGTAGTAGTTACACAAAACTCCTTTCATTCTTTCAGATATTATCTGGTCCTCACAAGAACCATTGCTCGTATCTTGAAGAAACCTTTCTACCTTTTCACAACTTTTGAAGAAAGATTCATCAGAAAAATATTCAATTTTCAGGACGAATAGAATTCCATGAGTAGGTCGAAATTTGCCGGGGTGCCGAAATTCTAGAATACTTTCTTCTGTGAGATACTGAGGTCACAAGGACTAAAAGTGACTCTCCTTATCAGCCGCTTACTCAGTTGTAATGCATTAGATCTATCTGAATTTTTTTTCTACACATACTCCAAACATTTTGGGGTGCTTATTTTGTTTCTGATTTTTCTGTCTTCTCCTATTTGAATGAAGAAGTTAAATTACGGAGAGTACACTAAAAAAGTATGTTTTTTTTCGAATAAATTTTATTTTCAAAGATTGTCCACAAATCGCCGATAGAATATCGTTTAAAATAAAAAAGTAGCTACTACAAAATACTGCTGGTATATGTAAAAAAAACGCGTCAGCTTGGCTAGATGTACTATGTCTGATAAACGAGGACGATTCTGATGGCTATTGGGTAAAAACTGGGTTATGCCAGAGTGCGACAGAACGAAAAAGATTTATCAGTTTTCACATAGAAAACTATCTTTGTCTTTGAATTTTTTAATTTTAAAGCTAAATTTGAATTCTCAAAACATTTTTAATAGATACAGCACACTTAGTAGCATAAAACCAGACCCATATTTCCAGGTTTTGCAAATTATGGGATCCCACCAGAGCCCATAGGAGAGCGACGAAACTTGGAAGTAGTATTCTGACCGAACAATTTTTGGCTTTTTTCCGATCACCTACGACAGTTTGTATCAGGAAAGAGCGAGATATTGATCGGAACTCACAGGGAAAAAGTCGAAAATTTTTCGATCGGAATACTGCTTCTCAGGTGCGCCTTTTCGAGTAAACCCCTCCCATAATAGAAGCCCACGGGGGCTTCTAAACTGCCCATCGTCCAAAATTTTCGGAGGGGGTTTCTATTAAGTCCCAAATTTTTTCAATAGTTTTAGATGTACAAAAAGATTCCAAAGAATTTCAGGGGTTATTAAGGTTTTTTAGAGTTTTAAAACGACTTTCCAGGAGGTTTTGAGATTTTTACACTGGCATATAAGAAAATTAAACAAATTTTTATCTTAAGATCTTGAATTTCGGCGGTTTTGCGGTGAAAATACGAATAAAATTTTTCAAAAACTTTGTAAAAATAAGGGGGCTTCTAATAAGGGGAGGGCTTCTAATATGGGAGGGGCTTCTATTATGGGAGGGGGTTTAGTGTCATGTATCCCGAAATTTGGAGATACCGTCACTTCTCCCGTTGAAGATGGGGCATCTTCAACGGGAGAAGCATCACCTCCTTTAGAGATGCAGATCACCCGCACGCACACTCACACCCACACCAGTAGATACAGCTTCTCCCGAAGAACAAGTTGATGCGTCTCCAACTTTTGGGATATGTGACACTACTGTCTTTGTCAGTGAATTTCAGTCGTGGTGCATCCAGAACGCCCATGTACAGACCTTTTTACGATGAAAGCTTCATCTCTACTTAATCACATTTTGAGAAATATATACTCTCGAGTTGGTGTTAGATTTCTTCTTATTTTATGTTCTGCAGTTAGCTTTGCTACATTTTATATTTCAGATAACGAAGCATAAAAACACGTTTTTAACTTTTATCGTGCTGTCATTAAATACAAATTACATTACACAACTCAAGTGTCATTATACTTCACACCTCTGTTGATTCCAATCGGTAACAGAAAAGTTACATTATGGTGAGATAAATAATTTTTTCTTGGTTTGTTTTCTCTTGATCATTTTTCTGTTGATTGTTTTTGTTCGATTTTTAAAAAAAGGATAAACGAGAAGAAATCCATGGAAAAAGAGCGACAGAAAATTGTAGCAGAGTTCTCCCAACAATATAAGAGCTTTAATAAGAGATTGGTTTTCAACAAACTTAATGAAGGTTATGAACTAGACAAGGCATTTCATTTGTCAGTACCAGCCGCCATAAAGTACATCTCACGTAAGCATGGTCTACCAGAAGATAAATGGAACCAAATTTATAATGACTTGATAGCTGATAATGCTGATGACCGTGTCAAACTATTTCTTGTTCAGGCACTGAAATATTCCATTAAGAAAGGAAACCTTGATATGGAAATTGAAAAACTTATGATAGCACTACCAAAAAATGATTCTTCTAATGTAAAATCCGAGATTATATGGACTTTAGGTTACCAAATTAAGAACTCTCATTGTAAAAATCCTGATAAACCAATAGCCGAAAATTTAGTAAATCAGATCAATAATATAATAGAAAAGACAGAAAATGAAATTAGTTCTGAATCCATAAGTTTCTTAAATGAACAAATTCAAAATCAGTACTACGTAAATGACAGGAATTATCGACAAAAAAAATCAAAGAAAAATAAAAGTTCCGGCAAATTACTCTAAAAAACCGATAAAGGCAGCAGTAACAAAAACTAAACAAACAATTAAAGTAAAATATAAAAATAGTCAATTCGAAGAATCAACTAATACATTACATTTTGTTAATTTTTCTAAGAATAGAAGAAAAAGCATTAAAGTTAATTCGAATATAGAAACTATTCCAATTATACCGGATGAGAAGGGAAGTGATAAATCGATCCGTCGTACTACTATGAAAGAAGTTAAAAATTTTTATAGAAGGATGAAAAATGGAATGACAATAAAGAAAAAGGATAAAGATGAATACTTACCGTCAAAATTCTTGAGAGCTGACAAGAAATGGTTTTTAGGTGGTTCTGCGAACTGCATGAAAACGCTAGTTATAGACAGAATGATCGCTGATATATTTCTTGAAATATCAAAAAAACAAATGTTAAGTGATAAAACAATACATTTACTTATGCAATGCGTAGATAATCTAGGCGAGTTAGAAAGAAAAATTTTCGATGGATTTGATTGGAAAACAAAAATTGAAAAAGAATTCGCGTCCATACAAAACGATAAATTTTTATCAGAATGTCTAGAAATTAACGACGTTATATCTAATATAGATAAAAAAACAACTATAGAAATTATTTTATCTCAAATGAAAAAAATAAGACTTGCAGCAGTTTCAGCTATTTATAATTGTGTGAAACGAGATAAGACAATTTTAAACAAGCAACGATTAGCACATATTGAAAACTGTAAAGTAGATGACGACAATGAATTCAAAAAATACAAAGTTATCATATTAGGAAGTTTTGACAATGGTAAAGATATAGATTATAAGAAACTATTCAATGAATGTTTGGAACAAATAGAAAAGGATGGCGATATCGAACAGCCGATAAAGTACATCGATGACCAGAGCAAAGATGAGAAAAGATGTAAAGAATTATTTAATGAATATACAATAACGAAAATTAGTAAATTATTTGTCAAGGATAAATTAAGTGAAACGATGAAAACATATGCTTGTGCAATTATTAATAATTATCTGGAACGTAGTTATACTAGTGCTTTGAATGAAATTCAACTTAGAGATTATAGTAATTTAATAGATAATTCAAAATATGATGAAAATTTAAAAATTGAAGCATTAAAATCAATAATTTTGTCTATTGAGAAAAATAAAGATTTACCTGAATTTATGACCGAAACTCTTATTAAAAATATTAACAAGGGTAACGATAAACTTGATAATTTTATTATATTGATTATAAGAATTCTCTCGGAAGAAAAAAAGATTGAAAATGTTGATATCTTATCAACAAAATTATTAGAAGATTGGATTATAGTTAGAGATGGAATTGACATTAGTTTTGAAAAAAGTTCAGAAGAAAATAATTATGGTCATTCAATATCATCAATGGTCGCTCAAATTTTTGTGAATTGTTTGCAGAAGAATACTCGAATAAACGATAAAAGCTTTGAAAATCTTGTTAAGGCACTCAATAGTAACGATAAACAAACTTGTATTTTATCAGCAAAATCATTATATTTGGCCTCGAAAACTCATAATATTAAAAATGACATATTAGTGACACTAAGAGAACATGTAGACAATAGTATACCTGATGTTTCTATCTATTCAACCGTTGCTTATGCTCAAGGTTTAGCAAAATTGTCATCAGTCAAAGAGCCGATCATGAAAAGTCATATTGAATTTTTATCTAATATTTATGTATTTGAAGAATTACAACTAGGAGAAGAATATTTTACTGATGTAGTCAATAAAAATATTTTATCTATATTAAAGAACGAAGCAGCAAATCAGCTATTTGAAGAGGATATTTTTCAAATTTTTGATCATATTTTATTGTTTGAAAATCATTATATGCAAGAAACAATCGAAATACTTATTATATATTCAGCAAATAAATATCCTATTCAAGATAGTACAATATTTGCACTAGAGAATGTTGCTAGTACACCTGAATTATCTAATCAAATTTTACAATTATTTGAAAACATAGTTTACAAAAAGCAAGTCATCGGTGAAAAAATTCTACGCATTATAGCTGATAATTTTTATTTATCAGACAAGGATGAATTTCGAGATCAATCATTTTATATTCTAAATATGGCAAATGATAATCAAGATATATCAGATGAATTATTTGATATATTGGAATTAGAAAGGGCGAGTCTCGCTATTAGTCAATGTTTACTTGATGCTAATGACTCTATCATTTATTTATGTGAAAAGACAAAGGAAGGACAAAAGATAACCATAAATGGTTTTCGAGCATTGAGTAAAGTAATTTTTCATAAGCAATTTATACTCAATGAAGATATCTTGAGAATTTTATTAAATGTTTCCAAGAATGGACAAATGATACCGAATAATTTAATTGATAAGCTTGTGAAAAGATTCGATCCGAAACTTGCCCAATCTTACTTAATTGAAATATTCGAAAATTTAGTTAAAAATAATCAGAATATATCAGAGGAATTTTCAAGTAAATTAACAATAGCTTTAGATAATTCAATTATTGTTGATCAAGTACTATTCATTTTTCTACTTCAAGGACAAAAAGGTAAAAATCTATCCGAAAAGATCATTCGTAAAATTCTCGATAAGTTTTTGGCCATAGAAAATCCTTCGACTATGCAACACTATTTGCCTGTTATTTGTTCCGTTATCGAAAAGGAAGATTATTTCAAACGTCATACACAAAATCTTTCTAATGAAATAGTCGATAACAATTTCGATACAATTATAATCCCAGCTGTAAATAGAGCTCTAATTCATGCTCTTAAAACAGATAATCAAGATGTTATTCGTAAAAGTATTAGTGGACTTAAAACACTTAGATCGCTTCATCAAATTGAACTTGAAAAAGGAAGTATAGAGATTCTTTTACAAATAGCAGCAAATGTCAATTATGATGCAAGTATAAAAGAAGAAATTAGTGAGTTATTGAGTGGTTATAAATTAGAAGGTAACCAGAAAACCGTATATGAACAAGCTTATATGATATGTGATTCAGATGGTGAGTTCTTAGATAAATTAGCTAGTTTTGACAAACTTAAATTATTCAAACAAAATTTTGATCGAATCAGTTCTATTATTGAGAAGAGTTCAGAATTGAAATTTCAAGCTCTCAACATTTTATTGAATTGTTCGAATAAGAAAAATATTCCAGATAAATTATTAGATAGTATTGCTCTTTTATTAGAAAGTACTAACTCATTAAGAATCAAATCAAAATGTTGTCAACTAATAAAGGAAATAGCTGAAACAGGAGGAACTGTTACATATAAAATTATATCAGTTATTCTTGATCAAGATGAACAAGAAAAGCCAATAGATATACTTAAATTAATATCTAAAAATCAAACGATTCCAGAAGAATTACAAAATAAAATAAAATTATCTTCAGGCATTGCTTCAATGACAGATATCAGTTTTAGAGCTCTTAGTGAATTTTTGAAAAATATTCGAGAAGAATTCAACAAAAATAAAACATTTTCTGATCTATCAATTCGAAACTTACTTTCATTAAAAATTTCAAAGAATGATATTCAAAATGATTCAGAATTAGAAAAAGAATTAAATGATATATATGCGCTAGTTCTAATACAAGATCCTAATTACTCTTCAAATCAGACGATTATTGATAGTTTGGAGAAAGCCATTATATCTACAATGATAAATGAGAATATTCTTAATGCATATAAAGAAATCATTAAACAAACACGATGTCAAACAAATAATTTTTCTAAAGTATTCGACGCTTTTATAGACATATTAAATCAGGATAAGAACTATACGGAATTCAACTTTGATATTCTTGTATGTATTGCTCTAGCATCTGAATCTACACAAATTTCGGAATTAAAGCATCTAGAAAATAATCTTTCTAATGATAATGAAATGATTCGTAGTTGGTCATTTAGAGGTTTAAGAGCAGCTCATGAGAAAGGTTCATACTCTTCAATATTTAAAGAATGTTGTGATAATATTATTAATACACTGGAAGAAAATACTAAAATTATAATAGATATAGATTTGGATTTATTCGAAACTATAGCTTCATTAAAGTTCATCGATTTTAATAAAATCCGTGATAAACCAAAAGATCAATGGAATAGAGAACTTTTAATATTTGATTTAATAGAAAGATTTCAAATAAGCGAAGGAGAATGTTTTCAATTTTATCAGGCTTGGCTTCGTATTGAAGAACACGAAGGATACGAGAAAGGCCAAAGTAATATATTATTGAAATTATTACATCGTTTTCTGGTGTATAATCGTATATCGTTTGATGAATGTTATCAAACAATAAAGATTGTCAAGCAACTTAGTTTTGAAAGTGTTCATAACATTTTATTGAATAGTAAGAATCCATTGATTGACTTGAATAAAAAGTATCTAATCGTGATCATAACTCAACGTTTACGTAACAAAGACGAGATTAGTCCTGAATATATTGAAGGTTCAGCCTCTTCTATGATATTGAAATTAGGCTTTGATATTAGCCAAAAACTTTTGGATGCACTACACAATATTGATAATTTAACAGAATTTGATTATATTGTAACTTTTTCTCAAAAAAATAATATTAAAATATCTGATATCTATGTTAAGAATGCAACGATTTCAAAGTTGAAAAGATCATTAGAAATAAAATTCTTAGGCCATCAAATTGTTAGAACTGATCGCTTGAGATTAGCTCATCATATTGATACTTTATTAGACCGAAATTGGAAATTTGAAGAATTAAATGATTTATTTAAAATCTTTAAAGAATCGAATAATCAAAACAAGACTCGATATTTTATGAATGTTCTCGAAATTTTATCACATTATAAAATTCCTCCAAAGGATAAAGAAAAACTATTATTAGCTTTAAAGAATCCAGTCGAAAATTGGCAAAGAGAAATCAATAAAATTGCGATTGAAAACAATTTTCCTGATAAAAGTAAAGAGAAAAATTCAAAAGATTTAATCGATGAATTGAAAACTCAAAATTCTCTTAATCAAAACTTGAAACATTTAACTGAAAAAACACTACTAGAATGGATAGAAAAAATTAAAAATCAGTCTTCGATATCTTCATTGCTCGATGAAAAAGATGAAAATAGGTTTCCTCTAGTCAATCAAAATTCTATCACTCAATGGACAAAAGTCGACATTCAAAACTGGGCAAAAAAAGTAAAAGCTAATGTTGAAACTTTTAAAAATAAAAAAGATTTTATAATAGAAGCTTTAGCAGTAATAAAACAAGCGACTTACTTAGACACCGACTTTCATCTAAATGATGCTCAAATTTTAAGTTGTTTAATTGCTTTAAATCTGAATAATAATCAAGGAAGATTATTACAAGTGGCAACTGGTGAAGGTAAATCCACAATAATAAGTGTATTAGCTATATTTTATGCTTTAACGGGTAAAACTGTAGATATCATAACTAGTTCTCCAGTACTTGCAGAAAGAGACGCAAAAGAAAAAGCGAAATTCTATAATATGTTTGGTCTTGGTTGTAGTCACAATAATGATAAGCTGGTTTATGTAAAAGGTCTAAAAACTTGTTACAAAAAGGAAATAGTTTATGGTGAAGCAGCACAATTTCAATTTGATATTCTAAGAACAGAATATGCTCAACTTAATACATTGGGGGATAGGAAATGTGAAGTTGCTATAGTAGATGAAGTAGACAGTATGCTTATTGATGATAGTTCGAAAATTGCACGACTTGCAACGACTGTGTCTGGTATGGATCAGTTACAGATAATATATCATTTATTATGGAATCAACTTGTTACGTTGCAAGAAAAAATCATTGCAGTTGATAATAAATTATATTTATTTTATGGAAAGATTGAATTTAAAAAAGAGAAAATTATTTTAGAATATGCAAATGAACAAGGAGATATTGTTTCGATTTCAGATTTGAAAAGTTATCTAACACTTACATCAGATATAAGCGATATAGGATTTTGTATACCGGAATATAATGAATTCGATGTAGTTATTAAAAAACATTTAAAAGATTATATTATATCATTCATTGAGAAGAATATTAGAATTCCAAAAAACTTCAAAGATTTTGTTGATACACAAATACCTAAATGGATTGAAAATTGTATAACTGCTTATACTTATCAGGAAAATGTACATTATATTGTACACGAAGGTTTAATTAAACCAGTTGATTATTATAGTACAGGAATTGTACAGAGTTCTTCGAATTGGAGTGATGGATTACATCAATTTTTACAAATAAAACATAATCTCAAAATGACTTCTGAAACTTTTACTACTAATTTTCTATCGAATCGAGGATATTTTACAAAATATGGTTCGAATTTATTTGGTTTTACAGGAACACTCGGTTCGGAAAAAGCTAAACAAGTATTAGCCGAAGTATATAATTTAGATTTTGTTATGATTCCTAGTTTGCGTCGAAAACAACATCTCTCTTTACCTGATATTGTAGTAGATAATGAAATATATTGGCTAGAAGAAATCTGTCATTCTGCAATTAATGAATCGAGGAAAGAGAGAGGAACTTTAATTATTTGTGAGACAATCGAACATTGTAAAATCATAGCAGAAACAATTCAACAAGAATATCGTTCGAGTACAATTAAACTTTACACAATGAATGATATGAATCAAGAGGAAAATATCAAAATAATAAATCCCAGAGAAATAATTATAGCTACTAATCTGGCAGGACGAGGTACAGATATAAAAACAGATGAAATCGAAGAACATGGGGGTCTTCATGTTATTGTAACATTTATGCCATCGAATCAACGTGTTGAAGAACAAGCATTCGGTAGAACTTCAAGACAAGGTAAAAGAGGTACAAGTCAAAAGATATTAAACGCAATTGATTTAATCCATTATCAAGATTTAGATATAAAGAATATTACACAGGAAAGAGATAGAATTGAAGCGAATATGTTAAATGACTTTGAACAAAATGAATTAGAAGTAATTCGTTTAAAAGATGAACTTTTTGTCAAATTTTGTTCTTTATTAAAAGAAATACGTAAAAAAATACGAGAAAATAATAGTTTAGTTAAAAATGTAAAGAATGCTGTTAAAAGTGCACTTGTAAATGTTAATCCTTCTATTTTTGAATCGAATGTACTTCTTAGCATCGAAGAACAATGGGCTATGTTTTTACGTCAAATTGATGATGAAAAATCTAATTTCAAGTATGAAAAAATTCATGATGATTATGAAAAATTTAGTAAGAAAATAATCGATGATTATGAAAATAATTGTGTTATTAAAAATCCGTACTATCATATTATCATTGGTAATGACTTAGTCATCAATGATTCTTCGTTGAATAGTAAATATGACGAAGCAATGAAACATTTCGAACGAGCTATAGAACTAGATCCAGATCATTGTGCAGCTGCTTTCGTTGGAAGAGGATGGCTTTTATTAAAAGGTAAAGAAAAAATTGTAGTTTCGAATAAACAATGTTTAAACTATAAAGATACAGCTATTAGGTCATTTCAAAGAGCACTTGAACTTTTGAGTGAGGAAATGACCTTACTAACATCTATGCAAGCGCTTTCACAACAGCGATGTACAAATATCGACACTCCCCTATTTAAACAGTTGATTCAGAAAAGCAATATTTTAGGTACTTATTGTAATCATCTAGAAAATCTTATAAGCATTACAAGAAAATCTCAAAGATTAATTCAAATAACAGAAATAATTGACTATTCAGAATCTATAGGAAATATAACGAATACTGGAATACTTAAAAAAATAGTTTCGTACAATAAAATTGAGAAAGGTATTGGAAAATGGTGTAATATTCGTTTAGTAACTTCCGAGCATGTGCACCGTCACAAAAATGCCATTGAAAATTGTAAAGAAATAGCTATTGTTAAAGATGATGAAAGCGAATTCAAGGTCATTTATAAACAGAAAGACGAAGAAAAATTAGGTGCATGGGTAGTGAATGATTCCAAAATAAATGAAAGTCTTTCAAATTTAGTTTATGACGATGGAATACTCGATCGAAGTAATTATTCGACAATCTATGATCAAATTTATAAAGAAGTTTCATCAAAAAATGGTTTTATTCGAGCAGATTTTTTAGTACCTCTTCAAAATCTACCGAAAAATAGAAAATATGAAGTAACATTTAATGATTTCACTACAAGAGAAGATTGTGGAACTCGAGATCAAGCTATTGAGACTATTAATCGAGCAATAGCGAAGTCTGACATAATTAATAGTTCAAGTTCTAGAACAAAAAGTATTTTGAATAGTGAATACCAATATATTAACGTTAGTATATATCAGATTAATTCAGAAATAATGCAAGACCTTTTCAATCCTGATATCGAAATTCTGGAAGTTACAAAACAAAAAGCTCTGACACAACTGAAAGACAAAAGTTCGTTTTTTCATCGTCATTTATTTCCAGATTCTATATCTCCTGATTCATATAAGGTTAATTTAGATGTTATTCAGGATAATAATAAAATACGACAAGAAAAAGATTTACAAGTAAGAGATGTAATAGAAATTATTGAAAAACAAGATTTTGTTATTGAAAAAGAAAAAGGTGTTATTAATAAACAAGAAAAAGATAATTTACATTACAATTTGACTTTCATAGCTGCTAACAAAAAAATATCCGAAGTTATTAAAAACAAAATATTAAATCACGCAAAATTAACTGTTGAATTTGTTGATTTAGATGGACAAGAGGTTTTAAACAAAGTAACAGAAATCAGTTCTACAAGTATTACTCTTGAAATATTCGATGGAAAAGAACAATTATTAGAAGTTATAAGGTCTGTAGATATAGGTCATATAGAATTGTATTCAACTAGAAACGAAGAAATGAATTTTGAAAAGACTAAAGAACTTGTAAATAAGACCGTAGCTGAGAAAATAATCAAAGAAACTTCAGACAAGACTTTACTTATTAAATTGATAGATGTAAACAAAGAAGCAATAAATAAAATCGTTTTTATTTGTCAGAATGCAAAATTTAATATTAGTTTCATTAACATAAATTTTGAATGTCTTTTAAAGGGAATTGACGATAAATTAGTAAATATTCATTTTGATGAATTAGAAAAAAAACCAGCTGACATTCTTATTACGCAAATAAGAAAGAAAAAACTTGATTTTATTTTGACATTTAAAAACCTAGAAGGTGATCAGGTAGAAAAACTTATAGCCGCAGCTTCAATAGATCAGGAAGATGTGAAAGTAGATAAAACAAAAAATCTAAGAGAAATATTCATGAATGAATTAAGACCAGATTTAGAACTTTCTGAATTTTCTGGGCGAGGAATCGAATATTTGATTGAAATTAGTGAAAAGCATTTTGTCCCATGGTTTAGCATCGCTACTGTAGCTGGTCTAGCTGCTGTCCAAATGACAGTAGGTGGAATTCTTGTAGCAACTGGATTTGGATCCACTGTAGGAATGGGTCTAATTACTGAAGGAGTAGCAGATTTAGTCATTGCCTTTCGAGTCTATAGCACAAGACAATTTAGTTGGTCAGATTATGGAAAACAAAAAGCAGTAAGTTTGATTATCTCAGCAGTTTCAATGGGGATTTCAGCAATTAAGGATGCAGGTAAAGGAGCTAAGACTTTAGTAACAGCCGCTGGGAAGGAATTAGCTGAACAAGCTGGTACAAAAGCAATAATGAGTGGAAACGCAGCGGGCCAAGAATTAGTTAAGGTTGGAAAAAAAATAACAACCCTAACTGTAAAACAAATTGCAGTATCTGCCAATGAGAAGGTATTAAGAAAAGGCTTGATTAAGTTAGCCGATGTAAGCTCCCAATTTGTGTTGGAACGATTGAAACCACAGATTTCCGACTCAATACAAGACAAAGTTAAATATAAGTTTCTTGATCCAAACTTATTGGTACTAATGCGTAAAATGTATGCATTCGACAAAATAAATAAAAATCAAGAATTTAAAGGAAAAATTAATAAAATAGTAAATCAGATATTTAATTGTAAGCATAGTTTCTGGCGTAAACAGTGGGATTCCATTGGTAGGCCACTATGCACTGGTATTTTATCAAGTTTATCAAGTGCAGAGACAAAGCGAGGTCAAAAAAGCATTCTCCCCATAACAATCAGTACTCTAAATGGAATGTATGAACTCACATTTATTGTTGAGAAAGTGTATGACCAACTTCTAAAGAAAATCTCGGAAATGGATCAAGAGGATTTGCCGATACAAAAGATTGTTCATTGTTATTGTCAAATCAGTAAAGATGATACGCAGAAAATTGTAAGTCTTCTTAAGAGACAAGGTATAGTAGAACTAAATAACGAATTAGCAAATCAAAATTTTCTGACTCAATTAAAAGCAATTCATTTTCCTGGATTTGATATCCATAAGGACAATATTGTAAATTTTCTCATACCTTTACATACAACTATGTCTAAATTAGATATCAATGATTTTAGTGAAATAATGAAATTAGTATCAGACACAATTACAGATCAAGTATTGAGAATAACACAATCACAGCTAATTTCACCGTGGAGTAATTATGGTATGAGTGAATTAACAAAGGCTATTTCAGAAAAAATACAATATAATTTGATTGACGATGAAAAACAAAATTCAGATAGTCAAAATCAACAAAATCAACAAAAAGAAGAAAAGACATGTAATATCATTGCTAAAAAAATTCAATATAATGCTAGAGATTACATTATAGCATATAGTCAATGTGAAATGATTCATTATGCTCAGCAAAAACACAAAACTAATCATCAAAAAATAGACGAGAATGTAAAAGCTTATGCTAGCAGCGTTAGAATGGATATACCAGCAAACATGTCTGACATGTTTACATTGGCTAATGAATATAGATTAGATCTAAAAATAGTGGACGATCCTAATTATCAAATAACAAAAGAAGACAAGACAAGACGTACTAGCATTGTACTACACGTAAAAGAAGCAAAAGACACTGAGAGAAATACTAACATAGAACACTTTGAGCTCATGTCCAACTGCGGAAAAGAAAATGATTCTAAAACTAAAAAGAATGATTGTGGCTATAGCGTTATTCAAAAAATATTATACCATAGAGACATTTATGAATCTACTGAGAATCTTCGTAATGTTAGAGCTCAAATAATAGAAAATAATCCTCAAGAATTTTCTATAGGACAAGTGGCACAAAGCTGGATTAAAACTCGTTGTCCTGAAGCAGCTAATATTTTACTAATGGTACCATCAGATCGAAAATCGAGGACCTCTAAAGATAAAAACCCTGAGTTAACACTGAATTCTAAAACCACAATTATAATTGACCAGCCTAAAAAGCAGCTAGAGAATTTTAGACAATGGTCATTGAATGAAACAATAGAAAAAGATGAGGTATTTTCACTTATCAACAAGGGGATGAAGAAACTAGAAAAGCAAGGTTATGTGGACTTTAGAACCAATTTCGATAGCAACAAACGTACCATAGTTGAAACAGATAATTTGCGTCTTGATAACCAGAAACCAACTGACGGTCATCTTTATGTGAATTACCAAATACAATTGAGTCGGACAACATCTTATCGACGTAGTAAAGATTCTACGACTGTAGCCAATGTTCTGGTGAAAAGGCCTACTAATTCTAATAGTGTTTATCGTTATAGGTCAGAGGATATTAAGGAAGCTTTCATTCAAAGTTTTGAAGATGGTAAAATAGTTACATTGAGTCCACCCAATAATAATCTTTG